TGACGTTTTTGCTGCCGTTGCCGTCGTCGATGCTAAAGCTCCCTGTGCGGCGCGGACTGAACCTCGGTTTTGGCATACCCCTCATAACCCAATATCACAATAAAAAATAATCAATAAAACTTCTTATTCCAAAGTATAAGGCACATAAGTACATGATTTTTGTTGTTGCTATTTTTGTTTATTTTTTTTCCTCACGTAGAAGACTAAATCCTTCAACCATAGGGAAAGCCAATACGGTATCATCAGTCAAGTTATGTAATGCAGTTACAGCGTGCTGAAACTGCCAGACCTCAGTCCTGTAATATTATTACAGCTTAAAACTATAGTGGTCGTTTTTTAAGCAAAAAGAGCGTGTTTATTTGGAAGCACTTTTTAACATCTTCTTCTTTTTGTAAACACTTTTGTCTACATTTACGGTCATTTATTATATTTGAGGCTTCGACAACTAATCATTGTTCCCTAGTAGCAAAAACGCTTCTATGGAAGCGCATTTCCTTTCCAAAAACATTTTTTCAACTTCACTTTTACCTTTGACGTTGGCTGGTACTAAACTGTTAAACAATGGCAGAATCACAGAACTAATGGGAAGACAGTCGAACCTCACGTAAGCGACCACCAAAAATGTAAAGACTTAGTGGTCGCTTACGGGAGGTGGTCGCTTACAAGAATCGAACAACAAGGCGTCTTTTCCGAAAAGCGGTCCGGGCACATCTACTTTGTGGAAGATAATTAATGGCTAGTGATGTGTAGTGATGGATAGTAATGTATAGTGATGGATAGTTATGGATAGTAATGGACAGCGATGTGAAGTGATGCACAGTGATGTGTAGTGATGGACAGTGATGTGTAGTGATGGACAGTGATATGTAGTGATGGACAGTGATGTGTAGTGATGGACAGTGATGGGTAGTAATGGACAGTGATGTTTAGTGATGTGTAGTGATGGACAGTGATGTGTAGTGAAGGGTAGTGATGGAAAGTGATGGGTAGTGATGGACAGTGATGTGTAGTAATGGACAGCGATGTGAAGTGATGGATAGCGATGTGTAGTGATGGACAGTGATGTTTAGTGATGTGTAGTGATGTTTAGTGATGGATACTGATGTATAGTGATGGACAGTGACGTGTAGTGATGGACAGTGATGTGTAGTAATGGACAGCGATGTGAAGTGATGGATAGTGATGTGTAGTGATGGACAGTGATGTTTAGTGATGTGTAGTGATGTGTAGTGATGTTTAGTGAGACAGAGTTGGGTAGTGATGGATAGTGATGTGTAGTGATGGACAGTGATGTTTAGTGATGTGTAGTGATGGACAGTGATGTGTAGTGATAGATAGTGATGTGTAGTGATGGACAGTGATGTGTAGTAATGAACAGTGATGTGAAGTGATGGACTGTAATGTGTAGTGATGGATAGTGATGTGTAGTGATGGACAGTGATGTGTAGTGATGGATAGTGATGGGTAATGATTGATAGTGATGTGTAGTGATGGATAGTGATGTGTAGTGATGGATAGTGATGGGTAGTGATGGATAGTGATGGGTAGTGATGGATAGTGATGGGTAGTGATGGATAGTGATGGGTAGTGATGTGTAATGATGGGTGGTGATGTGTAGAGATGGATAGTGATGGGTAGTGATGGATAGTGATGTGTAGTGATGGATACTGATGGATAGTGATGGGTAGTGATGTGTAGTGATGGATAGTGATGGATAGTGATGTATAGTGATGTGTAGTGATGGATAGTAATGGATAGTGATGTGAAGTGATGGGTAGTGATGGGTAGTGATGGATAGGGATGGGTAGTAATGGATAGTGATGGGTAGTGATGGATAGTGATGGGTAGTGATGTGTAATGATGGGTGGTGATGTGTAGTGATGGATAGTGATGGGTAGTGATGGACAGTGATGGGTGGTGATGTGTAGTGATGGATAGTGATGGATAGTGATGTATAGTGATGTGTAGTGATGGATAGTGATGGGTAGTGATGTGTAGTGATGGGTAGTTATGGATAGTGATGGATAGTGATGTGTAATGATGGATAGTGATGGGTAGTGATGGGTGGTGATGGATAGTGATGTGTAGTGATGGGTAGTGATGGGTAGTGATGGGTAGTGATGTGCAGTGATGGATAGTGATAGGTAGTGATGTGTAGTGATGGGTAGTGATGGATAGTGATGGGTAGTGATGTGTAGAGATGGGTAGTGATGGGTAGTGATGGATAGTGATGGATAGTGATGGATACTGATCGATGGATAGTGATGGGTGGTGATGTGTAGTGATGGATAGTGATGGATAGTGATGTATAGTGATGTGTAGTGATTGATAGTAATGGATAGTGATGTGTAGTGATGGGTAGTGATGGGTAGTGATGGATAGGGATGGGTAGTAATGGATAGTGATGGGTAGTGATGGATAGTGATGGGTAGTGATGTGTAATGATGGGTGCTGATGTGTAGTGATGGATAGTGATGGGTAGTGATGGACAGTGATGTGT